AAACTGATCCCTTTCGTATTTCTTTCATTCTTTTTTTCGCACACGGAGCGCTTGGTGGAACAGCGACTTTGGACGTGAGCCTCGTCCCAGATCAGCATGGCAATTCAATTCAATTCAATGAAGCCCACCAAAAAAGGCGGAATCATTTAAGAACCAACCAAGGACGATCTACGGAAGGAAATTGCCGGTGAAGCACGGAATGAATTACGAAGCGTTAGAGAAAAAGTCCAAGGGATTCCAAAAGAAGTAATCAACGACGGCGGAAGAGCAGAATATGGTGAGAGCTTTCCAATTATTAAAAAAAAATATATATCAAAAGTAAACTAAATACATGCCAGGTTTGAAAAAATATATTTTCAAACCTGGAAGCGTGTATGTAATACCAATATCCATTTGATAACGGTGATGCATACATGCGGGGCTTATTGTAAGTGAAAGTAACCTCAGAATGGGCGTGACTCTCCAGACATTCTGAAATGGGTTGCTGGATCTGCAATACAGCTATCACCTTCTAACTCCCGGATTAAATCTGTCTACAATGACCATAAATGCGACATTGTAGAGAGAGTTCTTCCATAATAACACTGCCGGCCAGTGGGGGTTAGATTGAATACACACACACACACATTAGACGGAACAAGCCGAGGTAAATTCGAGTGTGGAAACAGAATGGTTTGTGTTTTAGCTGCATTGATATAAATTTTCCAATGACTCGAAGGCAACCGCCTTATATATGTTTGCTGGATGGGGAAAACCATGACTATTTACTCTTCCAGATGACTTTTTTTTGTCGTGCCTCCGAACTTAGAATCAGGGAAACAAGGAATTTCTTAATCAGATCGATGAGTGATTATTAAAACTCCAAAAAAATCAAATCATATAAGTCAAACTATAATATTTATTACGAATCAGTAATTTACGAATTAGTATTCCACATCACACCTTTATTATACAGATGGTCAGTGTCAGTGTTTTTTATTCTTACCATGCGGATAATATAAGAAGTTTTGATCTTACCTTGCACCATTTCGTATTCTTTCATGATAAGACTAGATAACAAAATTAGTCGAGGTTGATAACTAGATAAGTAATGTGATAACAACTGAAAACAAAATGATATCTGGAATAACAAGACTTGTTTTCAAGATGATACCAGGTTGTTATTTTAATTTGCTCTTGATGACTGTTATGAATGAACCCGCAGTCATTCTTAAGTAACCTAAGCGAATTGATTTTTTAAATCCCCTCTTTAAATTTTTGTTTATACTTGGTCTATTAATGCGCATTTAATTTTTAATGTTTATAAGCTTCGGATTTTTTTAGTTATGGTCTAAGTAGACCCATCAATTTTGCTCACAAGACGCGACGCGAGATAAGACACAACACTTATCGTTCTTTCAACGTTAAAATAAATTAAAATTTACTTTTCTGTCGACCGGTTTCGGGCGTGATTGCGCATCTAAGGGTTTTGGTTTCAATTGGAGAGGGTCGATGCAATTGCTCGGTCACTTGAGATTGAGATGGAATGACCCATATGAATTGAATAAATGAAATGAAATAGAAGTCATTTTTAGTAGAAACATTCAATTGTTTAACATAATCCAGGCCAGAAACAATGAAGTAATGCACTGTCTATAATCCCATATCAGTCCTATATGAAAAAGTAGGCATTGAAAAAATGGCAGTTCATGTTAAATACGAAGTGCGGTTTTGATATCATATCAAAGCGGATGCACTTCAATTGTGTCCAAAATATGGTGTAATATTACTTGCCAAAAAGGATAAAATTATCATTAATACAGTGCATGAACTGACTGCTTTTACTGCATTTGTTTATTTTTGTGTCCATAAAAATTACATGAGATTTTCGACATGATTGAAGTGCATGCTCTTGGATGTAATATTAAAACTTATTTTTTGATGTGCATGTAAATATTTGGAAAATCAAAGTAAATTTATTAATATTTTTTTTCAAGTTAAAATCAGTTGCATGAGGCTTGCATGTTATGTTATATCAGCGAAAAATATGGCAACTTAAAAAGTAGAACTGTAGCTTCACCTCTGGACGATTGAATTTAAGGATGGGACTGATATGCGATTACTTTGCTTGATGGTACCAACTGACTTGATGTTGTTTTCTCATTTTTTTATAATCAAAGTCCGTAGTTTTATCACATCATATGAAAGTAGATACAGATATGCGGTTATATACATTGCACGGGTTGTGCAACAAAATGTAAGTTTCAATATTCACTATTATGGTGATGATGCTTTTTAAATAATAAGAATTTCAGGAACAGCCTTTTCCATTGAATGCTTCGTAAATCTGCCTCACAATGTAGAACTTAATCTGATTACATTATGATTTTTGTTAGTGACAATGATGAGTTGAATATAATATTCAAATGCTAATATTTTTGTTGCTTACGAAATACATTAGTATGAGACTGACAAAAATGTCCAAATACGCCTTCAAGAATTCCAATTCTCAGTTTCAATATACTGCAAAGTGAATGAGTCCGGTTCGCAGCTCTTTTTCCACCTCGTTCGCGAGTATCCAAATCTTTACCACTACAACTAGCATGCCAAACAGTAACAGCAGCAGCAGCAGCAGCAGCATTTCTTCTGGTGAGTTTTGTACCACACCAAAACACCTTCAGCAACCCGTTCGAGTGTCATACTTCTCGATACGAACGTTCACTCGCACACAGAAACCCATCTATGCTGTCGTAACATACGGCCAGAAGAATTTTCTGTCGGAGCAAGTTCCCAACCTACCGAACCAAATCTACCTGCACCGATCTTCACAACCTTTTGCGCAAGTGTGTTGGTGTTCATGTGCGTTGGCTGGAGTCTTGAGCTCGCTCGCGTTTTCTTCAGCCTGCCACTGACCAGCCGGATCGTGGTTGTGTGAGGACTTGTGCAACATAAGTGGTGTGTTCCCCGCTTGCCCTCCCATTGAAGTCTCTCGCCACCAATGTATGATCGTGAGATCGTGTTCGTGTTCGAGCAGAGCGATCGAGGCAGCTCCGAGAGTTTGGAGAAATATTTTCCATCGCTTTGAGTTCAGTTCTTTAAACGCTGAGGAATAGACTTGAAGTCCGTCCCGTACGTTCCGAGCCGTTGTTGTTTGCCAAGGCGCGCGCGAGAGATTTTTATGCTTTTCCGAAAAATAGTGTACTGGACCATCGTCAATGGCCAAAGGGGGGAGAGCAGCAAGAAGAAAAGCCGAGGCAGCAGTGTGGCATTAGAGGAGAGCTAGTTTTTCTTAATGGAATGAAATAACACGGCGAGTGGACCCCGTTGAGTTTGAGTTTGATCTGTGTGTACATGTGCGGGAACGGGATCGAGATAGAGTTACGGTGGAGAGTGTAAGACAAGACAAGGGATACATTTTAAATTAACACCGCGCGTTTAGAGCTCTGTTTGAAGGGAGATAAATTTTCGCTCAGGAATTTAGAGGAGCGAGAAAGAGGATTTCGTGTGTTAGATTGATGGAAAACCCTCGACGCAAAGTGACAAGTGCGTGAAATTTCTTGAACTGAGTCAAAGTGAACGAAACATTCCAAAGAACACAAACTGAATTACGTGGTGCATATTTGAGACCTAGGATGGATCGCGATCAATGGCGGATGCTGGCACGATAGATGGACCATTTTTGCGGATTCGAGTGTTGTTTGGACGGAAAGATCGCGACGGGCCAGTGATCGGGAAATTTGGAATTGACCAAAGTGTGAAGTCGTCAGGAATCGATAGCAGAACAAGTAGTGCCGAAGGAGAAGATAAGAAGAAACAAAAGAAGAGAAAACAGCCCCAAGAGTTGAAGAAAAGTGGAATATCTTTTCACGAATGTTTGGATACCTTCTCTCCACGGACTCGGAGTGAACAGCAGCGCGCTCAACACGTATAAAGAAATTTATTTATTTTCATTTACAATTACAAACGTGCGCGCGGTGTGTTCTTGTTGGGGGCCTCCCCGTAGTTTTCTTCTTGTTATTAACAGCATTACTACTGCTGTTGCTGCTGCTGCTGCTGCTGCTGCTGCTAGCAGTTCCTCGCGAGGATGGTTATTTTTTCCTTCTTTCCATGAGAAATATCTCATTATATTGTTTTATACAGCTTGGCGCGAGCTTTGCGCAAAGTGAGTAAAAGAGATAGCGCCCAAGACCTCGACGAAGGCCAGAAGAAAAAGGAAAAAAACAAACCGAAGACCTGTGACGACTTGGAAAACGACGACGACGACGACGACGACGACATGGAAGAGAGCGCAAAACAGTGTGGATGTAATACAAAGTGAAATACAAAAATATTTTTATAATAAAATAAAGTCAAGTCGAGCGGTGAAGTAAAGAGAGGAAAAGTGCAGCGAAGAAACGTGAAGAAAAAGAGCGAAAAAACGGGAGGCTGGAAGAAAGGCAAAGTGAGTGAGTGAAGCAGAGAAAAAAGTACGAGGAAGAATTTTTTAAAAGGAAATTTTTGTAGCTGCAAATAGGAATTTTAATCACAAAATTTTTCGGATACATTTTGATTTTGCGTATATGATTAAAACAAAGCGAGATTAAAATTGTTTTTAGTATTTTTGCTTCTTGCGCGAATTCGCTGTCGCTGGCAAAAGATTATTTTTTGCAGCACGAACCTGAAGGATTTGAGAAAGCTGCTGCAGCAGAAAGTGTTGTTGTTGCTGTTATTGTTGTTGCTGCTTCGAGGAAGAAAGTTTGTGAGCTCTGGAGGTGAAGAGCATCGCAAAAACAAAAAGCAGTAGTGCCGGTTTATTTTTTTGGATGCTCCCTTCTTCAGGTGGAGGCCATTTGCTTAGAAATGGGCTCGGATCGATCATGAGAGATGATGAAGTGTTGATTTGCTTCGATAGCCGCCGCGCGCTCAGCCTATGACGACGACGGAGCTTCAAGCTTTTTAGAAAGAAGATAATAAGGAAGTGAAGATTTCAATCACGGCAGCAGCAAAATTCAAAGCAAGTCAGTGCTAGTGCCAGAGCAAAAGGGAAAAGTGCAGGGCTTTTTTTGTTTTTTGTTAGTGGAGTGGATTCTATTATTCGGTTTATGGAACGCAACAAGCCGAGAGGAAGAACAAACGAGAAAAGCTGTGACCATCTCGGAGCAACTGGCAGCGAGCAGGATTAAGGGATTACACACTCTTCTAAAGCTGTAAATTAAGGTAATTATCGACCCTCTCGAAAAAAAAAATTCCCCTACGACTGGCGCAGGTTTATTTTTCAGGGAGATCTATCCGGGAATGACTTCAACGAGCGCAAAGAGAGGAGAGTGAAGATTTTCGTGGGTTGAAATTTGAATTTTAATCACTCTTAAAGAATAAGCCCTAGTCAATTTCACAGCATTTATTCAAATGGACATGGTATTATCATTATTTCAAAGTAAATTTTAACTAACCGTACCTAAATGTACGATAAAAAGTCACATCTTCATCAATATAAAAACAATCCACAAATCTACATCCACGTTCTTTAAAAGATCAGATGCATCAATGCTAGTTTAACAGATCAGTTAGTGAGAAAAATCGACGTGGTAAGAAGTAGTTGCTGATAGGTTGTTAATGTAAATACGCAGCAAATCAGGTGCGTTCATACTGTTCTTAAAAACATACTCTTTTATTTCTTTGCGTAGGAATTAAATTTAGATTTATGCACAAGTTCTATTTATAAAAAACATAGAACACGTTCACCAATATGCCTGATACTAGAAATTTCAATATGGCTCTATCTAAAAAAGTCCTTCTTCACTAAGTGTCTCTTTTTTTTTGGAGGTTTTGCAAAATAACCGCAAATTCCAAATCATAATTATCCTACAATGAAGTTTTTTCTTTGAATTGACCATTGAATATACATCAAGAATACATATTTATACATATATGACATGTAGGGTAGAGCACTACTTCGGTCTAATCGCCCATTTTGGGCCTATCGAACAGAAAACATCAAATAAACCCATTGTTTCAGAGTTAACAAGTCAATTATGCGTTTGCTACGATACTTTTGTTCAAAAGCTACCGAACGAAGTTAAAGAGAACGCGTGATATGAATGTTTACATCCATTTTTCTCAAAAACAAAAGACCGCACCGACCGATTCAAATTTTATCTTTATCTAATAGGCCTAATTTAGAATCCGTAGGCCGGGGTAAAGAAGCAGTGTTAGATTTTTAACAATATCTCAACAATTTGTTTCTCTTTAGCAAATCTTACGGTACACGTACGGGAAGGTAAATAAAGTTAAAAGTCATCTGCAGTTAAAACATTCTATTTTTTTGAAGAAAAAAAATATCTAAAAATAGACGCAAAGGGCGGGTAGGCCCAAAAATAGATCTAAGCCCTATGAACAAATATTTAAAAACTAATAGTACGTTCAGACTACAGAGTTATAACATGTTATAGCGCTATCTTGATGGTGGTTTATGTGTTGCAATTATTTGATTTGATGTTATAACTATTAGGAACTATTGGTAAACCTATTTTGTTTGTTCAAGATGCAGACATCTTACAAGATTTTTGAAATTTTCAGCTAATCTATCACTTTTTTAATATTCGTGCTAGAGAAAACTCAATCATCAATACAATTATTTGAGTGATAGCAGGGGGGCTCTATGTTAGAACTGCTCCACTTTCCTCTATATGTGCAATTACAGCTGATATTTACAATAATGAACTGACTCGTGCTCATATCCGGAACTTAATGTCTGTACGGCATGAAATTCAAAAGAGATCGGTGGGAATGGCCCCCACTCATTTAGTCAAATGACGTATGGGTCATTTGCCTAAAAGCCGTTTGGTAAAACGCTATTTGGCCCTTTATTGATTAGTTGCAAATCGATAATCGAAGTATGTTTAGATAATCTGAATAATCTCACGTAAAAGTCCTCCTTCTTCTAATATTTTCACGCTTCTTTTTGCGAGCGGTCTGCCGGCTCTCAACAAAGTGTTCTTAATACATTTTCACTGTTATTTCAGCAAGAGTTTCTATATTGTGTGGCAAGCACATTGATTCTCTATGCGCAGGGAAGTCGAGAAAATTTCCAATCCGAAAGATTTCCTCGATCGGACCGGAAAACGAATCCACCACCGGCTTGTAATATCGTGCATTTACTGACAAGGCTATCTGAGGCCTCGTTAAAATCCTTCTTCATGATGAATTTTACGGTATAATTTTGATCATTCCTTCTACTGTCCTTTTTCGCATTCCACTTCGTGATTTCACATGTTACAATACTTATTACGGTTTTTGTGAATATACGTAGCTGAAAGTACTACTGTCGTGGAGAAGCAAGCTATGTCTGAATTTTACAGATTTATAAACCTCTTAAATTTTGAGATTTGTGCGCTTCAAATCCCGAAGTTTGATAAAAAGGACTCTACCAGGAAGCATATAAGTAATTGACAACATATACAGGGTGATTCAGAATAAGTGTCACCGATTTCACAAACATGCAATTCTCAATGGGTAAAATGGGTATATGTTTAAGTACTTTTGTTTTAAAGTGATCTTACGAAAATTTTGTATGAAAAAAATGATTCTGGATAAAGTTTCTTGTTTACTATAGGCAGTTATAGGAACTACCATTCAATTTCCCATAAGAAAATATAGAGGTACTATGAAATTCACGCTTACATGCTTTGGAGATATATGCAATTTGTTTTAGTGTACAATTTCGTAAACGTAAAATCTAAATTTCACTTGTTCACTCAACCGGGAAATGTAAGATTTTCTGACAGACCTGCAAAACAGATTAGCGAAATCTGTTATGAACCTCCATACATACAGATTCCATAATGTGAACGCATGAAGGCTTTACAAATAATTGTATGCTGCATTTATAAATTGAGCATATTTTCATCAATACTTGAATCCTAACCTTTGATGATAAAAATTTAATGAATTAATTTAATATATTAAATATTTTATTTTCTAGCTTAAAGTTGACTCATACACGCAAAACAAATTTCTCTTACATTCAATGTAAGGTTGAATTTATTACATCCTCTGCATATGTTTCATACAGCACTTGCAATGGACTACAGCGTACAAGCAAGTTTTTTTTTTCAGAATGCATATTTTTGTACAAAACCTTCACGAGATATTTTTTAAGACGCAATGCATTCGGGTAAACAAACTTTTTTCGGAAAGTAAACTAACATAAAAATTACACAATCATTTAAAAAACTTCCCATCGACCACATTACCAGAAACATTGCATACTTTTCATGCAAATCTGTGATAGAATCTTCCATTTCCCGGTTGGATGTACATATAAGGGTTAGAGATGGCTCTTTTTTTCCTTGATTTGTTTTCCGTCGATCTTGTTTTCCGTGCTGTGCACCAATGCTACCGACGCTAGGGAGGCAGGGCCCACACCTGGACCCTACCTATCGACCCATCAACTCATGAACCGGGGGCCAACGGCTTTACTTTCCTTCCGAAGATTGAAGGAGATCTGGATTGAACCCAGGTCAGCTGTGGTGAGAGGTAATCACGCTTACCACTACACCACTGGCACCGCTATAGATGGCTCTTAATCTTGACCAAATAAATATACTACTGTAAAGCTTCTGTCTGACTCCTCCTCCTTCTTCTTCTTTCCTTTATTTAACGTCGGTCTCTGCTCCGCAATCTAGTGCCAATCACCGACGGACATCGATTGCCATCTATTGACGGCAATCGAATGTGTGGAAGGCAGCTTTCACACCTGCGTAAGATATCGCACCCATTCAATTCAGCACACAAGGGCCGGGATCAACGGCTTTACTTCCCTTCCGAAGGAAGACGTGACCACAGATTTTTATGCCTCAGAACCCACCGACCTCGGCTGGGATTGAACCCAGACCCATTGGGGTGAGAAAGCAGTCACGCTTACCACTACACCACCGGCGCCGGCTAGCTTCTGTCCGAGGTTTCGGTTCATGGTTTAGGCTCTCATAAATTCCCAGTAAATCATAATTAGTTAAATAAATCAAAATGTCATAATTTGTTATTCAATGTTATACAACTCTATGCTTATCGCTCGTCGAGTTAATTGCATCTGAAAGATGCAGCGATTTACTTCAATTTTGAGAAAAGGTTCTCAAAATTAAAAATTTCTCATATTGAAAAGCAAAAGCAAGGTGAAGTTTAAGAATAGAAATGTGAAAAAATACACACTCTGATTTAATTAGTAATGAAAATTTTGCATAGATTTGTGACGTTTTATATCTTAGAGCAATCTCCGAAAAGAGATAAATGATTCATGATTTCATGAGCATTGCATGTTTTTATGTTATGAAAATACACCAATATGATACAACCATGATACCATGAGCTAGCAACATTCCCGAAATCATGAATCATTTGAGTCAAAATCATGAACTAAACATGTAGAAAAAGTAAACACACAGATGCACAGATTTTCACATCCTAATGGAATTTTACCATAAAGCATGGCCCACTTAGTAATGGAACAACATCATTTTGGATTTTAATTAATGGATTTGAAAACGGTTTTCACTCAAGTGGCTTATATGCCTATGTCTATTCCTTATATTTCGAAGGATTTCTCAAACTTTCCCCATCAAGCGGCGCCCAACGGTCCCGTCCATGACTGTCCGTGACTGTACCTTTTACCTTCAGTGTCCTCTTCATAATTGCCAAGTTGTTTACAATGGGCCTGAACTGGGGACAATTGGGTGGATTGAGGGTTTTCGGAACAAACTGGACTCCGTTGTCATTGTACCATTGTTGTACTTCCTGACTTTAATGACAACTCGCAAGATCCGGCCAAAATGTCACCGGACCATCATGCGACTGGTTTTCGGAACAAACTGGACTCCGTTGTCATTGTACCATTCAAGCGTAACTCTTCAAATCGACGTATCTCCTTTTGTAAACAATCACTTCAATCGACGATTTGTCTTAACTGCTAACACACCCATGCAAACAAACACCATCATCAGGTAGGAGAATCTTTCCCCTACTAGCTGGTGTTGTTAGTTTCTGTTAGTGAGCTAGCAGTTGCCACAAATCGTCGATTGAAGTGATTGGTTACAAAATCAGATACGTCGATTTGAATAGTTACGCTTACATTGTTGTACTTCCTAACTTTAGTGACATCTCGCAAAATCCGGCCAAAATGTCACCGGACCATCATTAGAGTGATGCAAAATTTGAAATTATCG